CCGAAATCCAACCGCTCCGCACACTCCGCCGGCCCATCTTGTATCATCGTTGCTACCTGCTTGTGTGCTCGTGGCGATTGGGGACTCGCCAGGTGGCAGTAGTTTCTGCAGACAGCGTCGTGGAGCTCGCGTGGAGGAGAAGCAGTCGCTGAATATATCGAAGGGCGCGCTTGAAACAACATGCCCCCGCCCAAGTCTCACAGTCGAAGCCCAGCAGCACGAGAAGGCAGCATCAAGGCACGAGAAGGCAGCCCAGCACATATATATATATATATATATATACACATAGAAAGAGATATAGAGACAGGTACGCATGTTATATTATGCCAAGCCCCGCCGGCTGTCGGAGCATCTTGGGGCAACACCCCGGGCTCTCTGGGCAGTCTCTAGGGGTCTTCTGGGCTGGGGGCCTCCCGGGGGCCTCTTGGGGGCTGTCTTGGGCAGTCTTGGGCCTCCTTGAAGCTATTGCGGGGCCACTGGGGGCCTGACACCCATTTATCCCAACTCTGTTGCCATTCTTGGGCCCTCTCGGGGCATTCCTGGGGCGCTCTTGGGGGGGATGAGAGCCCTCGTGGAGTTCTTCAGGGCTCCGCTTGAAGCTACCCTGAGCGATCTTGGAGGCATCTTGTCCACAAACAGACAACATCATTGATCACCCATTGCTGTTTGAAGGTTTTTGGCTTCTGGGACCTTGCAGGGGCCTCTTGCGTGTTGTCTTGGACCATCTGGGGCCGCCCTAAGGCTACCTTGGGGCCTCTTGGGATTGCCTTGGGGCCATCCTGGGGCCTGCAACCCATTGATCCCCGCTCTTGGGCAGAAGCCCCCACGAGTGCCCGAAGTCGGCCCAAGAGGACCCACACATCGCCCAGGGGGCTCCTAAGAGGGCCCCAAGACGGCCCAAGAGGCCCCAGGAGCCCCCAAGAGGCCCCATGAGGCCCCCATGATGCCCCCAACAAGCTTTCAGGAAGCTCCCAGAAGGCCCCCAGGAAGCCCCCCAAAGGTCCCAAGAAACCTCTTCCGCCTCATCCTCATTATCTCCCTCTCCCCCTCCCCCTCCCCCTCCCCCTCCTCCTCCTCCTCCTCCTCCTCCTCCTCCTCCTCATCCTCACTGCCGCGCGGACGAAGACGAGGTCGGGATCACGACCCGCCCCAATCCAGACTACTTGTCGGAATTGCGCCGTTCCTACACTCAGCCTCGTTCCTGCTGCGCTGTTGCGCAAGCACGCTGGCGGGGTTTGCCGCGGGCAGCTGGATTGCCCATCTAGAGCCAGAGCGGCAGACGTTGAAAACGGCCCGCCCTCAATCAGTGAGACTCTGGCTATTTTTAGAATCGAGTGTGCGCACCGCTAAGGCGAGAACCACATTTTGAAAACCGCCCGCCCTCAATCCCTGAAGCTCTTGCGATATGTTATAGCGAAAGTGCGGGGCGCTCAAACGAGAACCGCATTTTGAAAACCACCCGCCCTCCATCCGTGAAGCTGTTGCCAATTCTTAAGCTTCAGGGTCATAAGTGGTGCGGAAGTCTCAAGCAAAACGCACAGCCCGCCTTTTCGATCGGCCTCGGGGTGCGACAGGCAGAATTATACAAGCAAAAGGAATGGAGGAGAAGGAAGAAAGGCAACACCCCGTGCACTACAGCTTGCACTTCCGTCTAGAGTCGTATCAGATTGTTGGATCTGCTTGATTTCTTATGGTGGCCACCTCCCTTTGCGTGGTGCGTAAGACTCGAAATCCTGTACGGATATATCCTGAAAGGTTTATTTCTAATCTCATCATGATTCGCCATCAGGAGGAAAATAATGAGGAGGAGGAGGAAGAGAAGGCGAAGGAGGAGGAATATGAATCGGAGGAGTCTGAGGAGTCCACCCCAGCCCAGGTGGCATGCGCGTCTTGGACAAAAGGGGGGGGGGTAGGGCTTATGCGGAAGAGGTAGGTGTAGGAGGATGAGGAAGAGGCTCAACGATCCTCGCTAACAGGTATCTGGAAGTCTATCTATGTTCGGCGGATGCTGGTTATTGAGAACTTCATTTTTGCATCCATGCTGTACTACTCTGCATGAAAAGCGGGCCCTGGAAAAAGGGCCGAGACTGCCGGGGACCTCATCTGGAAATTGTCCTTGCGAAAGGCCCAACCATATGAAGCTGCGGCTACCGCGAGGCAAGAGAGAAACATCAAGGGGTGACAAGTAATGGGGTGTGCCGGCATGGGGCGGGTGCGCCATGCGGAACCTGCCACTCGGGCCTTGGACGGAGCTTCCTATGGGGCCACGAAGCGTGTGAAGGGTGAGCCGACTCGGATGCGGGTGCTCCATGCGGACCCTGCCGCTGGGGCCTTCCGCTGGGGCCTTCGCTGGAGCTCCCAATGGGGCCGCGAAGCGTGTGAAGGGTGTGCCGAATAGGGTGCGGGCATGCCCTGCAGACTCTGCCGCTGGGGCCTTCGGTAGAGGTCCCTTCGGGGCCACGAAACGCGTGAGGGGTGGGCCGAATCGGGTGCGGGTGCGACCTTGCCGCTGGGGCCTTGGATAAAGCTCTCTTCGGGGCCACGAAACTGCGGCCAAGCCGCTGGGACCTTCGCTTGACCTCCTTACAAGACCACGAAGCTCCTGATGGGGCCACGAAGCGCCTGAGGGGTGCGTGCCGAATCAGGAGTGTGCGCCATGCGGGCCCTGCCGCTGTCACCCTCGGTGGAGCTCCCTCCTGGAAACGAGGCGTGTGAGGGGTGTGCCAAGTCGGGGGCGGCTGCGCCATGCGGATACTGCCGCTGGGGCCTTCGGTGAAGCTCACTAGGGCCGCGAAACGTTCGTGAGGTGTGCCAGATCGGGTGCGGGTACGCCATGCGGACCCTGCCGCTGGAGCCTTCGGTGGAGCTCCTTATCGGACTGAGAGGTGTGCCGAATCTCGTGCGTGCACGGCCTGCGGGCCCTGCCGCTGGGGCCTTCGGCGGAGGTCCCTTCGGGGCCACGAGACGTGTGAGGAGTGTACCGAATCGGGTGCGGGGGCGTCGCGCGGACCCTGCCGCTGGGGCCTTCGGTGAAGCTCCCCATGGGGCCGCGAAACGTGTGAGGGGTGTGCCGAGTCGGGTGCGGGTACGCCTTGCAGACCCTGCCGCTGGGGCCTTCGGCGGAGGTCCCTTCGGGGCCACGAGACGTGTGAGGAGTGTACCGAATCGGGTGCGCGTGCGCTTTGCAGACCCTGCCTTTGGGGCTTCCGGTGGAGCTCTCCATTGGTCCACGAAACGTGTGAGGGGTGTGTCGAACGGGTGCGGGTCACCATGCGGATCCTGCCGTTGGGGCCTTCGGTAGAGCTTCCTATGGGACCGCGAAGCGTGTGAGGGATGTGCCGACCGGATCTGCTGCAGGTGCGCCATACGGACCCTGTCGCTGGGGCCCTCGGAGGAGTTCCCTATGGGGCCACGAAGCGTGTGAAGGGTGTGCCGAATAGGGCACGGGTACGCAATGCGAATCCTGCCGCTGGGGCCTTCGGTGGAGGTCCCTTCGGGGCCACGAAACGTGTGAGAGGTGTGCCGAGTCGGGTGAAGGTGCGACCCTGCCGCTGGGGCCTTGGATAAAGCTTCCTTTGAAGCCACAAACCGTGTGAGTGGTGTGCGGGTGTGCCGCATCGGGTGTGGGTGCTCCATACGGAACCTGCCGTTGGTGTTTTCGGTGGAACGCGTGGGGCGTGTGCCGAATCGGATGCGGGTACGCAATGCGGACCTTGCCGCCGGGGCCTTCGGTGGAGTTCCCTATGGGGCTGCGAAACGTGTGAGGAGTGGGCCGAATCGGGTGCGGGTACTCCATGCGAACCCTGCCGCAGGGGCCTTCGGTGGAACTTCCATTGGGGCCACGAAGCGTGTGAGGGGTGTGCCGAATCGAGTGCGGGTACGCCTTGTAGACCCTGCCGCTGGGGCCTTGTGAGGGGTGTGCCGACTCTGGTGCGGGTGCGCCATGCGAACCCTGCCGCTGGGGCCTTCGGTGGAGCTCTCTATGGGGCCACGGAGCGTGTGAGGGGTGTGCCGAATCGGATGCGGGTACGCCATGCGGATCCTGCCGCTGGGGCCTTCGGTGGAACTCCCTATGAGGCCACAGAGCGTGGGAGGGGTGTGCGGGTGTGACGCATCGGGTGCTGGTGCTCCATGCGGAGCCTGTCGTCGGTGTTTTCGGTGGAACGTATGAGGGGTGTGCCGAATCGGATGCGGGTGCGCTATGCGGACCCTGCCACTGGGGCCTTCGGTGGAGCTCCCTATGGGGCTGCGAAATGGTGTGAGGGGTGTGCCGAATCAAGCGCGCAATGCAAACCCTGCCGCTGGGGCCGTCGCTGGAGCTTCCTTTTGGGGCACGAAACGTGTGAGGGGTGTGTCGAATCGGGTGCGGGTACGCCATGCGGACCCTGCCGCTGGGGCCTTTTGAGGGGTGTCGAATCGGGGGCGGGCATGTCATGCGGACCCTGCCGCTGGGGCCTTCGGTGAAGCTCCCGAAGGGGCCACGAAGCGCGTGAGGGGTTTGCCGAATCGGGTGCGGGTACGCATGATGGTGATGATGAGCTCATATGCAAGGCAGAAGCAGGGATGGGAGGAGGGAGGAGGGAAGGAGGCGGAGGAGAGGAGAGGAGGGGAGAGACGGACGCGGGGCGCTCTCTTCACAACGAAGATCCAACGCCACAGGATGGTCTGGACAAATCAAGGCGCTGGATGTCTGGGGTTACTCCCGCGACCTCTCCCCGGGTGCCCTCTGCCCAGAGTTTCCAGGATCATCCAGCCGTGGCGATCTGGGCTCCCCAGACATCCGACTTTCGAGACACGGGCCCCCGACCTCCCGTCCACTTACCCGGGACCGGTTTCTCATCCCGAGTCGTTTTTTGACGGTCCCGAGGCCCGGCGAGGGCCCCGAGAGGCCAAAAACTGAGAAAAACCTCCGTCTCGATTTTTTCGAGACGCCCGCTGTCTGGGTCTCCGAGACGGGCAGCGGCATCGGTGTCTCGTCCTCCGCCGAACCTGGCCGCGCC